GGCGCGGGGCTTGGGCTCACCATGCCCCTGCGGGGCCGGGCCGCCGGGCACAAACGGATCCCCGGCTTGCCCCCGCCTCGACGAGCTCGGATTAGCTGCAGCCGGCGCCCAGGGATTTGAATCTGGACCCCGGGAGGGAGCGCGCCTAGGCCGACCTCGGAGCGGCGGCCCCGCAGCCAACATGCTTCGCAAAGGTGAGTTGGAGCCGCAGGGGCAAGTTGGAGTTGGATGCACACGGGCAGAGCCATGAGCCCGGGCGCCTCTCGGCGGCGGGGCTCCGGGTTCGGGAAGCAGCCCTGGGCGGGCTGGCGGGCTTTGTCGGGCGCACCCGCCGAGGGGCTGCTGCTGGAGCTCGGGTTCGGTCGGTGGCCGGTTGTGAGACACTGAGTTTGCACCATGGATCAAGTGGCCGGGCCTAGGGATCTGGCTCGGAGGGGTCAGTCTGAGACCAGAGTGAGCAGACGGTGGTGGATGGGGAGCCGGCCTCCTGGGACCTTTGCTTTGCCATTATAAAGTTTTGCACTTGCAAGCTCCGTTCCCTGCGCGGGCACACGCCCCGGCTTCTGCCGCTTGGACAGGGCCGGGTTCAACCCGCGCTCCAGTGCAGCCAGCGGTCAGTCACCGCGCGGCCCGGGCGCGCACCGCCCCCAGGCGAGGCCGAGACCTGGGCACCTTCTCTGCAGCCCTGCTCTGATCCCCAGGGACGAGCTCTGGGCAGCCATCGGCCGAGGGTGGGGAGTGGCAAGCGCCTGATGTCCGGTTCCTTAAACTTTCCTTTTGCCTGGAGCGGAGGGACGCGAAGGTGAAGGCCATGCCGGTAGTGTGCGCGGCCGGTGCCAGGCTCAACTTGAGGAGAGCTGGCTCTGCGACCACCCCACCCGGACCCCCCGGCAGCCTGGCCCGGTACCGCGCGCGGCAAAGTTGGCTCTGGAGCTGGGGAAGTCCCGCCGCGCCCCCACGTGGTTGCCGCGGGGCGCCGTCCCCTGGGCCCAGCCGTGAGCCCGCGAGCCCC